GGCAAGAGGGAACAACTTTTCTCCATCTTTTTTTTTGGCAGCCTTTCAAGAATATGAAAAAGGCTATCATGTCCCCCCTTAATCTCCTCTTTTCCAAACTAAACATACCCAGTTCTTTCAGCCTTTGCTCATCTGGCTTGCATCCCATCCCTTTGATCATCTTTGACACTTGCCCCTGGATCCTTTCCAGTTTCTCTGCAGCCTTTCTATATGGTTGGTGACCAAAACTGGGGCACTACTCCTGGTGAGGCCTAACCAGCACTGAGTAGAGCTATGCCTCTGTTAATGCAGCCTAACATTGCATTTGCTTTGTTTGCAACAGCATCGCATTGCTGGCTCATGTTGAGGCTGTGATCCACCACAACTCCCAGATCCTTCTCAGCAGCGTTGCTGCCAAGCCAGTTTTCCCCCGTCTGTATTTGTGCATTTGATTTTTCTTCCCTAAATGTAGCACCTTACATTTGTCTTTGCTGAATTTCATTTTGTTATCTATAGGCCAATTCTCCAATTTATCAAAACCCCTTTGAATTTTAGCTCTAGCCTCCAAAGTGTTGGCAGCCCCCGGTCCCAGCTTTGTGTCATCTGCACATTCGATCAGTATGCTCTGTATTCCTACATCTATGTCATTAATAAAGTAGGGCTGTCACGCTATTAAAAAAATTAATCGCGATTAATCGCACACTTAAAAAAATTAATTGTGATTAATCACATTATTAAACAATAATGGAATACCATCTATTTAAATATTTTTTTGATGTTTTCTGCATTTTCAAATATATCGATTTCAATTATAACACAGAATACAAAGTGTACAGTGCTCACTTTATATTTATTTTTATTACAAATATTTGCACTGTAAAAAACAAAAGATATTCACCTCATACAAATACTGTAGTGCAATCTCTTTATCATGAAAGCTGAACTTATAAATGTAGAATTATGTACAAAAAAATAACTGCATTGAAAAATAAAACAACCTACAAGTCCACTCAGTCCTACTTCAGCCAATCGCTCAGACAAACAAACTTGGTTACAATTTGCAGGAGATAATGCTGCCCGCTTCTTGTTTACAATGTCACCTGAAAGTGAGAACAGGCGTTCACATGGCACTGTTGTAGCCGGCGTCACAAGATATTTACGTTCCAGATGCACTAAAGATTCACATGTCCCTTCATCTTCAACCACCATTCCATAGGACATGCTTCCATGCTGATGACGGGTTCTGCTCGATAATGATCCAAAGCAGTGTGGATTGACGCATGTTCATTTTCATCATCTGAGTCAGATGCCACCAGCAGAAGGTTGATTTTCTTTTTTGGTGGTTCGGGTTCTGTAGTTTCCTCATCGGAGTGTTGCTCTTTTAAGACTTCTGAAAGCATGCTCCACACCTCATCCTTCTCAGATTTTGGAAGGCACTTCTGATTCTTAAACCTTGGGTCGAGTGCTGTAGCTATTTTTAGAAATCTCACATTGGTACCTTGTTTGCGTTTTGTCAAATCTGCTGTGAAAGTGTTCTTAAAACGACAATGTGCTGGGTCATCATCCAAGACTGCTATAACATGAAATATATGGCAGAATGTGGGTAAAACAGAGCCAAAGACATACAGTTCTCCCCAAGGAGTTCAGTCACAAATTTAATTAACACATTATTTTTTAATGACCATCATCAACATGGAAGCATATCCTCTGGAATGGTGGCTGAAGCATGAAGGGGCATATGAATGTTTAGCATATCTGGCATGTAAATACCTTGGAACGCCGGCTACAACGGTGCCATGCGAACGCCTGTTCTCACTTTCAGGTGACATTGTAAATAAGAAGCAGGCAGCAGCATCTCCTGTAAATGGAAACAAATTTGTTTGTCTTAGCGATTGGCTGAACAAGAAGTAGGACTGAGTGGACTTGTAGGCTCTAAAGTTTTACATTGTTTTGGTTTTGAGAGCAATTAGGTAACAAAAAAAATCTACATTTGTAAGTTGCACTTTCATGATAAAGAGATTGCACTACAGTACTTGTATGAGGTGAATTGAAAAATACTATTTTTTTGTTTATCATTTTTACAGTGCAAATATTTGTAATAAAAAATGATATAAAGTGAGCACTGTACACTTTGTATTTTGTGTTATAATAGAAATAAATATATTTGAAAATGTAGAAAAACATCCGAAAATATTTAATAAATTTCAATTGGTATTCTATTGTTTAATAGTGCGATTAATCATGATTAATTTTTTTGAGTTAATTGCATGAGTTAACTGCAATTAATTGACAGCCCTATAATAAAGATATTAAATAATACCGGACCCAAAACAGAGCTCTGTGAAACCCCACTCGAGACCTCCTTCCAATTTGACTTCATTTCATTAATATTTACTTGTTGTTTGCAGTTGTTTAACCAATTATGTATCTGCTTAATGGTAGTTCTGCTGAGTCCGTATTTCTCAAGCTTACTCATCAGAATAGCTTGTGGGACTGTGTCAGAAGCCTTGCTGAAGTCCAGGTATATGATGTCCACTGCATTCCTCCATCCACCAAACCAGTTACCCTGTCAAAGAAGGAAATCCAGCTGGTTTGGCAGGATTTCTTCTTGGTAAATCTATGCAGTAATAGCACTACACTTAAAATAACTCCCTGCTTTACCTCTTGCTTTGAGACTATTACAACCACATACAGCAATATGTCTTAGGGCTTGTCTACGCTTGAAATGCTACAACAGTGCTGTGGCGCTTCAGAGTAGACACTACCTACCCTGATGGGAATGATTCTCCTGTCAATGTAGGTAATCTACCTCTCTGAGAGGCGGGGTGAACTCTTCCATCAGCCCACCACTGGCTACACCCGGGGATAGGTCAGCTTAACTACACTGCTCAGGGGTGTGGATTTTTCACATCCCTGAGCGACATAGCTGGGTTGACCTAACTTCTTAGTATAGACCAGACGTCAGTAAGCTTTTATACTAGTCTAATCTTCATTCTCACTGACACACGCTTTTCTTTCCAAACTGCCTTCCATTTGCATGAGCACTGAATGCAGTATGGCTAAGCTTCCCTAGCTACCGTTTTAAATGTCCTTCGAGATAGAGCCCACATAACTGAAATCATTCTACCTGAGATCACATAACCCTAAAGTCAGAGGGCTTTTTGTGTTGTTCACTGTTCACCAGCTCCTGCCCGTTAGTCAGTTTTCATGCTTGTACAGTGTCAAGGTTAGCAAACTTTCAGGGAACATAATGTTGTCCCGGGGGTGGGGGTGAGGGGGAGGGTATCAGAGATGTCAGTGTTGATACGTCATATCTGCACACTGTGCTTTCTAGACTTTTGCTGCATATTTGACAGTATTCGTGTTCTGATTTGTTCAGTGGAAAAAAAAAAGTCAAAGATGAAACATTTGGGCGTATTTTGTCAGCTAGCTGTGCAGAGGGCCAGCACAAGTCTTGAGTGGGATTTAAGTTGGGTATGGGGGCAAATGTCACCTTAACAGACCATTAATAACATTGAAAGCTTAAGCTATAGACTGCAGACTTCTTGAAGACCTGAGACAAAGACCCTGACCCAAGACCAACACAGCTTGCAAAGTATCTATCAAAAGGAATAAAGAAAGGAGGGTTGGAAGATGAGATCACTTAGATGGCAGAATAAGGGTGGTTTGAGTTCCTTAACTGTGAATTTGCATATTTTCAAGTGTTTGGGGTACTTGGACATTTGATCTTCTAACTTTCCTGATTTTTAATGTGGTTTTTTGTTTGTGTGTGGGGTTCTTCCTAACTTCAATGTGCTTATAAGGATTTTTACTCTTAAGTTACTGAAGTGTTCTCTGAATCTTAGCTTTACTTCAGCCAAGTTCTTTGTCTGAATAGGAACCAGAGGAGTTAGAAATTTAAAAAATGCATTCAGTTGCCAAGTCCACTGCTGCCAGTTCAGGATCTAGTGCCTCATTTAATCTTGGCCCAAAGACCAAGGAAATCCTAGCTGAAGACATTGCTAGTGTGTTGTAGATCTAAAGTGTATAGGAGGACGTATGAGGACACATAGTAAGAAGGGATTGTAGAGTTAGCAGTGCCAAAGTCTTGAAAGAAAGCTGCTCAGTATCTGCTGGGGACATCAGAAAAGTGAAAGCTCCTGACGATTTCATGAGAGCTACAAGACAGACTTAACTAGATTTGTGCAATGTTCAGAGAGGAAAAGAATCACGCCTCCAAGAAATTTACAAGCAAAACAAAGCAGCAATTAGTATCACATGGCACCCTAGAAGCAATACAAATTTACCCAGATTGGCTATCAAGACAGCAATAACACGTAGTTGGTATGATTGCACGATTCATATTTGCCAATCTGCGAGATTGAGAAATGAGCCCCACTCTAAGTGAGGTTCTGAGTACAACTAAACCAATCCGTTCCCGTGACTCAAGATTCTAGACTTTCCCATCTCATCTCTTCTTCACACCACGTCTGATGTCTTTGCAGGCGAAGTCTCCTGCAGAACGTGTTTTGATTCAGTATCTTTCAGAAAGTTAATTTCGGCCAGATCCTCTCAATCAATCAATCAATTTTTTTGTACAGCACCTGCCTACAATGTGCCTGACTCTAGCCCTTCACTTCTGTGTGTACTACATTTGCTAGATAACTTTATAAATCAAAATAAGAGCAGGTTTGTAATAACCATTGGGAGACATGGGATTCCATGTGTCCCACCCTAGCTATCAAAGGATAGTAACAAAGAAGTTAAGTAAACATTTAAGTAAACGTTGCTTCATAGGCACAATTGTGATACAAATATACGCAGGGCTATTGGAAACTAATACAATTATCAGGATTTAAAGAACTGAAGGCCAGATCCCCAGCTGGTCTAAATCAACATTGAGACTTCAGCGGAATAAACCTGATTTATACCCTTTGAGATTCTGGCCTGGAGAATCTGGTTTATTTCCTTAACTCTGAAATCAATAATCCAAAGCTTAACAAGATGTCACAGCATGTAGTAACCTAAAATGTGATTTGCAGGAGTGCTCAGAGAAGCGGATGTACAATGGGGCATTCCCTTCTTCCCCATTCATCTACTACTATGATGATAAGTATGACATCAAGAGGAGAGCTCAGAGGGCAAAGAGAAAGGTTGAAGGTATGGTATATTTTGAGAAATACTTCTTACTGACCATCACATTTTTAAGTGGTCTTTAATCAGGGTACATTGGTATACTTACTGGTTTTTGTTAGGCATTTTGTAATCTTGGCTTTTTCCTTGTTGTGGAAGATGATGATGGAGATTATCTCAATCAACAAGCAGGGCAAGATTGATGAGTTTAGTAACCTCAGTCTGTTCCTGAAATGCATTGTTCCAAGCCTCTAAAAGGACACCAGGAAGTACTTTAACCCCAAAATCTCACAGACCTTAAAATGGTTATAAACTGATGGGGAGTGTTCTCTGAATTGTAAAATATGTTGTTAAAAATCTGTTACCAAAAACAATTACAGTGAAAAAAAAACAATATATATGAATGGCCACTTTCTACAATGAGACCACTTGTGGAGGAAGGTACCACTCAACATGAGTAAAGCTGGCAGGGTCTGGTCCTTACTCTGTCCAAATCTCTGAAAACCCATCTGTAGAGCAGGTATATCTACTTCACAGCCAGATCAGCAATTTTTGGATTGCAGAATCTTGACTATAGAAACGTCAGAGGTAAAATGACACCGTTTGACTTTCCAATCCCAGATTGAATATATGGGTCTTCCAAAGATAATCGTTTTTTAAACTGAGCAAATGTCATATGAAGTCACTGAGAGAAAATGATTATGAAAACCCACAGTATCGCTTTTCTGGCTGCAACTGCACTTTAAAATGACATGACGATAAACTTCTGGCTTACCCAGTGTTTGCCAAAATGTCTGAGTTTTACCCAGGTCCTCAGATTTTTACATACCAGGTCAATTGCTGACCCCCAAACTGCAAACAGAGCTGTGGTTTTCCAGGGTTGTGCTTCTGGCCTCCTAGTGACTATTAAAAGAAACTGTTCTATTTTACAGAACTTCAAGAAGCCGGCCTTTTGCCAGCGCAGTTCAAGAGACTGCGCAAGGAGGAAGAGCGCAGGGGACAGTGTCTTAAGAAAAAGAAAAACCTTTGGAAAGAGCATGTCAAGAGTCCTAAAGAAGAAAAGCGCCACAAAAAGGCCAATAAAAAGTCCTGGGCAGAGGAACGCAAAGAGAAGAAACACAAGAAAGAGGTCCAAAGGAATAACGACCAGGAGGAGGACTTTCCTAGGGGGGGTAGAACACACTCCCCTAAGGGCAGCACAAAGCATCACAGCTCTGCCTTCTCTCCACATGGCAGGAAAACAAAAAATGGCCAGGAACTGCTGGATGCAGCTAAAAAGAAGAAGAAAAAGAGAAGGCAGAGAAACAAGAAAGACAGTAGTTCCACCATTGATGAGAGCTTATTCCTTATAAAACAGAGGAAAAAGAAATCAAAACAGGAATCCAGCTGCTAACCTGTCAACAGAAAGCTACGGTGGGAGGGGGGCGTAACTCACCACCGTTTTGCCATGGTATTTTTCTGACCCTGTGCTAAGATGTAGAATTTGAATCCACCTTTGCATACAGGCTTGGATGTGTAAAACCAACACGACAAAGAATACTGAGCTTGTGACTCTCAGCTTCTTAAAGAGAGTATTTGCCAACGGGTAGGAAGTGGTTAATGTACACGAGTAAAATCATACTGTATTTTTTGGCAGTCCCTCTTTTTCTGTAAGTCGATGAAAGGTTGGGAACTTTTTTTTTTGTTTGGATGAATGAGGGAAAAGGTCCATAGTGGGGAGGTTTGGCCTTCTGTCCTTTGAGCGATTCCTTTTAAGAGTGCTACACCTGTCAAAATACTGTAGTTAAGCAAATGTGATTCCCTTGCAGCCTGACTTTAAAGAGAGGCTTTCACACTGGGGAGACTTGGAGAAGGGGCAGGGAAGGGAAAAGTAAACAGCAATACAAAAAACAATCTTTTTGGTGAAGCATTTTCTTGCTTTTCACCCAGCTGGAGTCCGCAGTGAAAATGTTGTATTGTACTTACGACATGAAACAGTCTTTTGCTGTGGAAACTCATGGGATGTCACAAATTCATCATAATCACAGCATTGCAAGTTTAAGTATCAGGAGCAGATGAACTACGAGGAAGCAAATCCTTGATTGAATAACAAATCTCTCTGCTAACTGGTAAGCAAGAGAAGTTCAATTAAAAAATGTTACAAGCAGTTGGGTTGACATCTGGAATTAAATATGCCATAGTTTTCCACAGTGTGGAAGTCCTGCTTTTTAAAAGATAAAATTATGTAGCCAAGCTATAGAATGCAAGCAATTTACCTGCTTCCAGAAATATAATGCCTACGTTTAATGACTTATTGGGTCTTTTTGTTTTGTTTTTTTTAAGAAATGAAGTATTTTTTGTACTCAAAGAATTAAAAACTTTGTAAGGATAAATACTTTATCAAAGGAACCAACCAAATAAAGTTTTACGTGGGGATACATGAAAAGATACCTTGGTTATACATTTTTCTTTTGAGGTAGAAAACAATACCTGGGTTTTGTTAACAAGATTAAATTATGTCAGTTCCAACCAAAAGGCTCTCTGCTATGGAATAATATAGATACCCTCTTCTGAGCACCTTTTCTAACCTGAGCAAAACAGTAGCTAACAATAATGGCTTCATAGAGTTGGTATGTACTCCTTGAGAGAGTTCTGCTGGCTTTGAAAACTGTTGGATTTTGAAACTGAATAGGATGTGTGTTAACCTGTGTAGGCAAGCCCTTAGTTACATGGGGAGAATTGCCTGCATAGCTATACCAGTATAATTATGCCAGTAAAACTCCACATGTGGACACTGTTATCCCAGGATAATTATGCTGGTAATTTTCCGTGTGTAGACAAAGCCCTAATTCATCGGCTTTTGGGTTAAAAGGATCACCTGGGTGAACGTAAGGATTTCAGTAGCCATATTCTTACATATCAGAGATTATTTGGAGCAAAAATAGACAAATATGAATTCATGTATCTCGGGCCCCAATTCCACTTCACGTAAGATGTGTCCTCAGAGGTGGTTTCAAACTGATTTTTGTTTAACTCAATGCTGTATTTAAATGACAATTCTCTTGGGGTACTTGGAAAAAATTAATCACATGTAATTTTTTTAATTCACTCTTGAAAAGACTTTTCCCTAATATCCATTCTGAGCCTCCTTCCCTATCTGGTGCATTTCACGTTCCTTTTCACTTCTCAGCGGACCATCCAGTCTGGACTAAAGGCCCTTGTGGGACAGCAAATTGAGGAGCTTTTCTTGCTTTGGATTGAATCCATCAGCCAACCCCCTAGCCTCTGTTCTGTCTCTGGTGTGGGGGAATGGCCAGGTAGTCCACAGCAAAGCAGCTGGGCTCCTTCAGAAGAGGAGAGTTTTCTGCACAGTATGAAGTGGTCTGCTCTTCACCCTCATGCAGTCAGCTCCCAAAGCCCAGGAAACAACACCCAGCATAATGAGTTGTAAGTGAGCACCCAAAGGAACAGCATGGCCATGCCCCTTCCTCGGGCTTGCACCCCGTATACAATGTAATACACAAGTAATGGGCAATCCAGGCACTGGAGATCCTGTTACCATCTTCCGGGAAAACAAACATATTCAAAGCACACACGCAGTCCTGCATGAATGGAATTCATCCTGGCAGGGGGACTCCATGGGTATGTCTACACTGCAAGTAAACACCTGCATCTGGCCGGTGTCAGCGGAGTTGGGCTCATGGGGCTCAACAAGGCTGTTTAATTGCAGTGCAGATGTTCAGGCTCAGGGACCCTCCCTGCAGTGGGAGACTCCAGAATTACCTCAGCAGCCAGCAATGAGTAAAAGGCCCCGATGTGACGTGGGCTGTCATAAACGAGAGAGGTTAGAAGGCGATAATTCAAGGACGGGCAAACTTTTTGGCCTGAGGGCCACATTGGATTTCCGAAATTGTATGGAGGGCCGGTTAGGGGAGGCTGTGGCCCAGCTCCCGCCCCCTAGCTGAGCCCCCCCCTGCTTCTCTCCCCCTGACAGCCCCCCCCGGGACTCCTGCCCCATCCAACTACCCCTGTTTCCTGTCCCCTGATGGCCCCCCTGGGACCCCAGCCCCATCCACCCCTCCCTCTCCCCTGATCGCCCCTGGATCCCCCACCCCTGACCTCCCCCCACCATCCCATCCAACCCCTCCTCTCCTTCCTGACTGCCCCCCCGGGACCCCTGCCCCATCCAACCACCCCTTCCTCCCTGTCCCCTGACCGCCCCCAGAACCCCTGCCCTGACTCTCCCCCGCAACCCCATCCAACTCGCCATCACCTTCCTGACTGCCCCCTGGAAACCCCTGCCCCCATGTTCCCCGCCCTCTGACCGCCCCGACCCCATCCACACCCCCGCCCCCTGACCATCACCCTGAACTCCCCTGCCCTCTATCCCCCTGCTCCCTGCCCCCTTACCGTGCTGCCTGGAGCACCTGTGGCTGGCGGCGCTACAGCCGCGCCGCCCAGAGCACCAGGACAGGCAGGCGCGCCGCCCGGCTGGACCCAGCCACGCCACCACACAGCACAGACCACCGGGTCAGCCGCAGCTGTGCTGCCCCAGGAGCTCGCAGCCCTGCTGCCCAGAGGATTGCGCCGGCGGCGGAGTGAGTGAGCTGAGGCTGCGGGGGAGGGGGAACAGCAGGGGAGGAGCCGGGGGCGAGCCTCCTGGGTAAGGAGCTCAGGGGCCAAGCAGGAGGGTCCCGCGGGCCGGATCTGGCCCACAGACTGTAGTTTGCCCACCTCTGCGATAATTCATAGATCTTATGGCAGGAGTGACCATTACGATCAACAAGCCTGACCTGCCTAACACAGGCCACGGAATCTCATTCAGTGATTCCTGCCTCTGGCCCGTCACTTCTGGGTAGTGTGAATCCAGCATTGTATCTCATTTTCAAGACACCCACAAGGCAATAAAGGGCACAGTGCATTCCTCACCCATCCATCCTTCAGTGTCCACAATGTGGAGATGTGTAAACTTTATGTAACGGCATAGCCCAGTGACATGTAACACAGGGATTCCACAAATACAGTACAATAAAAATACTCAAAAAAGCAAATTATAGCATCACTATCATTACCATACCAATGAGGCAACACTATAGAAAATCTAGCAATTATTGTTCTTAGTAACTACAAGTGGCCTTTAAATAACCATATGGATTCATAAATTCCAAGACCAGACAGGACCACTTGTGACCTCTAGTCTGAGCTCCTGTATAACATAGGACTTCCCCAAATTATTCCTAGAGCAGATCATTTAGAAAAACATCCAATCTTGATTTGAAAATTGTCATTGATGGAGAATCCACCACGACCGATGGTACATTGTTCCACTGTCTAATTACCGCTACAGTTCAAAATGTATGCCTTATTTCCCTTCTGAATTTGTCTGGTTTCAACTTCCGGCCACTGGATGGATGGGGGGGGGGGGTAGCTCAGTGGTTTGAGCATTGGCCTGCTAAACCCAGGGTTGTGAGTTCAATCCTTGAGGGGGCCACTTAGGGATCTGCAGCAAAATCAGTACTTGGTCCTGCTAGTGAAGGCAGGGGGCTGGGCTCAATGACCTTTCAGGGTCCCTTCCAGCTCTATGAGATAGGTATATCTCCATATATTATATTTATTTATTATATTATATTTACCTTTCTCTGCTGGATCAAGGAGCCCATTATTAAATATTTGTTCCCCACATAGGTACTTACAAACTGTGATCAAGTCACCCCTTCACCTTGTCTTTGTTAAGCTAAATAGATGGAGTTCCTTGAGTCTGTCACTATAAGGCAGGTTTTTTAATCTTTTTATCGTTATTGTGGCTCTTCTCTGAACTCTCTCCAATTTATCAACATCCTTCTTGAATTTTGAGCACCAGAACTTGGACACAGCATTACAGCAGCAGTTGCATCAGTGCCAAATACAAAGGTAGAACAACCTCTCTGCTCCTATTTGTGATTCTCCTGTTTACGGATCCCAGCATTTTGGCCACTGCATCACATTGGAAGCTCATGTTCAGCTGATTATCCACCATGGCCCCCAAATCTTTTTTCAGAGTCACTTCTTCCCAGGATAGAGAACACCCATAAGTATGGCCTGTGTTCTTTTATCCTATATTGAGCAGTACTGAAATGCATATTGTTTGCTTGTATCCAGCTTACCAAGAGATCCAGATCACTCTGAATCAGTGACCCGTCCTCTTCATTATTTACTACTTTCCCAATTTTTGTGTCATCTGCAAACTTTATTAGTGATGATTTTATGTTTTCTTCCAGGTCATTGATAAAATGTTAATTAGCGGGGGGCCAAGAACGATCCCTGCAGGACTCCCTGGAAACGCACCTTTTCAATGACTAGTCACCATTTACAGTTACATTTTGAGACCTATCAGTTAGCCAGTTTTTAATCCATTTAATGTGTGCCATCTTAATTCTATATCGTTCTAGATTTTAAATCAAAATGTCATGCAGTACCAAGTCAAAAGCTTTACAGAAGTCTAAGTATATTACATCAGCACTATGACCTTTATCAGCCTAACGTGTAATCTGATCAAAAAAGGTATAAAGTTAGTTTGATAAAACCTATCAATCCATGTTGATTTGCATTAATTACATATCCCGTCTTTAATTCGTTATTA